AGCCGTTGCTGCTGCCGGCGTCTGAGCGAAGCCTCTGGTGGCCGTCATCCTAATGAGCGGACGACAAAGAACTCTCTTCCAGACATGGGGCTCAAGCGTTTCCCGAACGGTTGGGGCTCCGAGTTGCAGCTCCAGACCAGAGCGGCCTCCGAGCCAGGGGGGCTCTAAGACCGGTTTGCCTGCAGCAGCGGAGGCTCAGCAGGAGTCCGACGATGATGTGTTGTTGGTCGCAGTGTACGAGGCCGAGCGACAGCTGAGTCTAGAGAATGGCGGGTTCTGCACTTCAGCGGGCGCCCTGTGGATTTACCCTACCAACTGCCCAGTGCGAGACTACCAACTGCACATCTCCCGGACCGCTCTGTTCTGCAACACGCTGGTGTGTCTGCCTACAGGGCTGGGAAAGACGTTTATTGCCGCTGTGGTCATGTACAATTTCTACCGCTGGTTTCCTTCCGGCAAGGTGGTCTTCATGGCGCCCACAAAACCCTTGGTGACACAGCAGATCGAGGCTTGCTACCGGGTGATGGGTATACCGCAATCCCATATGGCCGAAATGACAGGTATTTTGGAAAGAATGAGCTGATTTGAAACTAAGATCTGATGTATTCTCTTGGATGGTGAACTAAATTCCCGACCCACGTGAAATAATTCGCAACCCGCAATATGCTCATGTTACACCCACTGCCATAAAACATATGTATAGGGGCAGGTGCGCGGGTTATAAAAAAAGGGGGGAGGGATCTACTTACAGCAAATCCAACACAGATGATATGCTATCCTCAGAGAATTCTTGTACCTTGTAGAGTATGTTGAAGTGATTATATATGTATACCCCATGGGTAACTGAACAGGTAGCTGAATAATTTTCTTCTCATCGAATATGCCATTTTGTAGGAGTTCTTTAAAGACAATCTAGTCCTGGTCTTCTGTAAGACCCTGCTTTGACTTTTGAACCACGCCAGAGCGTTAAGATCTAGCTTTCAGGTGAATTGTCAAGTTGATTTCCTGTTTGGCCGATTACCAAATTGTGTGTGCTTTCGGAAAATATGACCAACTGTTTATATTTTACAGATAACAGTTGAAATTTAGAATGTAGAATGTCACTTTTATTTACAGGGTCTACTCAAGCGTTCACCAGGAGGGAAATATGGTGCAGTAAGAGAGTCCTTTTTCTTACACCTCAGGTCATGGTAAATGACCTTTCTAGAGGAGTTTGTCCTGCTGCTGACATAAAGTGTGTAGTTATTGATGAAGCTCATAAAGCTCTCGGAAACTATGCTTATTGCCAGGTAATAATTCTAAATATAGTATTTGTAAAATGTAAACAAGTGTTAAATGTTTTGGGGAATAGTTATTAGTGATGGGAGTTGTTAATGATTTTATTACTAAATACCTTACACCTGTTATCTCAGGATAGATGATAATAGGGGATACTTTCCTTCGTCCATTCAAATTAATGTCTCTGCTCTTTTTTATGTTCTTTAAAACTTAGCAAGACTATTAGTATCAGATGTGGCTCATGAGAGTCTAGTCATTGTTGGGACCGTGTTCTCTAAAGAAGGGTAGAGGCGGACTTTTGAAAATAAGATAGTAAGCCAAAGATCTCAGTGGGTATGCGGTGTTATTTCTCAGCAGCTGGGTACAATAATAGTTAACTGTCAGCGTTCTAGGGATAAATGACATAATGTATGCCTAACATGATGTCTTCCAGTTGAATACTTTAGGAATATAAAGTATGGAGGAAAACTGATGGAATGTAGCTGTTGAAGTCATTCATTTCTTTGCACTGAATGAAACTGAGTTGGTCTCTATTTCTCTTATATTTCTTTCTTTTATTCTACTTAAGGGCCAGGTCATGAAGGCATTTATGTTTACGCTTAACCGTTTCAAGACATTATGTAGGCAATTTAAGGTATATATAGGGTAAATATTTAGCTCGGTGATACGACTCATAACAGATTGGAGGAATGAAGTTTAAAGGCAGGGTATCTAACGAGAAAAGGAATATAAGTTTTTGACTTGGAAAACTGAAGATTTGAGTTGTGGAGCAGAGGAGATTTTGAAGTGAGGAAACATAGTGCAATATTTGATGAGTTCAATTTGCTGTGTTTATGGTCCAGGACTTGAACCACAGTTGGCCATGTGGGAGTCCAGCAATGTAAACATTATGCCCTGTGGTGGTCCCCAGTTTTTTTTTCATAATACGCACTTTCAAGGAACTTTCTGAAGAGCCATGGTGCATTTTTTATTGATAAAGAGTGTAACCCTAAATTCTTAGCTGGTTAGATAATATGACTAGTGGTAACTGCACTCACTAAACCATCAATATATTGACTGAGGAATAATGACAATGGGTCATATATAACAGTTTAACAAAGCTACGGTTATTTTTGCATTTGGCAAGTGAAATTAAATAACTTTTTTTTTTTTTTAGGTTGTAAGAGAACTAGTCAAATATACAAATCATTTCAGAATCTTGGCACTTAGTGCTACACCAGGTAGTGATATAAAGGTAAGTAAAATAATGCTTTTTTTCTTTATTAAGATCTGAGAAAATAAGAATTTTAAATGAAGCCAGATGAGTTTTCTGTTCTAGAATTTAAGTAAATTTTATACTAATAATATAATATTTCCTATAATATTCCTAACTTTTATTTTTGTGGTTGCAGGAATTTCTTTCAATTAGTAATTTTCAGCCTTTTGGTGCTTAACAGCCTTAACAGCCACCAAATGCTATTTGTTTAAAGTCCTGATTAAAAAAAAATTTTTTTTGACAGAGGTTGTGTACCCTTGCCAGAGAGAGACAGAGGGAGAGGGGCATAGTCGCACTGAAGCCCCTTCTCCATTTCTCCATTCTGTCAGGATCTGGGTTATGCACGTGCCTATGTATCTTTTTGTTTGTTTGTTTTAAGATTTTTGCCACAGAGCATATGTGCTCACCTGAGAGACAGAGAGAGAAAAAGAGTGAAATCACCTCTGGGGGTGGGAAAGCCACACCCAATCCCTTCTTCTTCATTCCCCCTTGGGATTTTGGGTACACACACACACACACACACACAAACACACACACACACACCCAGCTTGTGTTTCAAACTGCCAGGTCTGGGACTCGAACTGTAGTGAGCCATGTGAGTTAAGGCACCTTAACCACTAGGCCATCTACTAGCCCCGCTGGTGTATTTTTAAAGCTGCCAGAACTAACATTTGAACTGTATGGTCACCCGTGTGGGATCTGGCTCTCTTAATCACTATGAGACTGCTCTTGAATTTCTTTTTAAATAGTGTTTTTTTTTTTTTTTTTTTTTAATCATTACTGTTTTCAGTTCTTTGTAAGTTTTACTTTTTTGTTGTTGTTTGTTTGTTTTTTAAATTTTTGCTGTTGAGCATGTGTGCTCACCAGAAGGATACAGACAGAAAAAGTGAGAAATCACCCCCCAGGGAGGATGGCTGTGCTGCAGTCCCTTCTTCCCCATTTTTCTCTCAGGATTTTAGGCACTCACACACACACATTCAACATGTTTTTCAATCCACCACGTCTAGGACTTGAAGTGCAAAGTCAGCCACGTAGGAGCAAGCGCCTTGACCAGCATGCCATCTGCTGGCCCTTAATGGATTTTTTTTTCCCTGTGGGTTAATACAATGCCATTATTAATATTGTTGTCCAGGTTATGCTAGCTTTTTCTATTGGGAACTTCTTCAAATGGCTCTTATGTCCTTTAGACATACTTTTTTTTTTTTTTTTTTTTTCTCTCTCTCCTACCTTTCTGGCTTCAAAAGCTATTTTATGCTCATTTTGTATTTACTGTGTCCCGGTCAGTTCTCCTAAGGATTTTGGTTTCCTTTATTGGAGAATGTTAAAAATGCAGATTTTAAGCTCTATTCTATAACATTTTGATTTTAATAGCCCTGAATGATCTTTTGTATTGACTAGGATTTCTGCTGGATACGGAAATTGCTTTTAACTGTGTCAAGCTTTAAGACTATTTCCTTTGTTGATAGACTTAATGATTTTTCAGAGATTTTTGTCTTATATGCTTTTTCCCCCTAAATTTTTAAAAACATGTTTAATTTTTTTAGTCATCTTTCAAGCCTCTGCTTAAAAGTCATCCCTTCAGAAAGATCCATTCCCACTAAACTAACAAACGTTAGCTTTCTATTTTCTTTTCTTTACTCCTGTCTTTTTTATTTTATTTTTTTAAGGTTTTGCCATTGGGCGTGTGTGCTTAGTGGAGAGAGAGGGTGAAAAGGAAAGTGAGAATCGCCGCCCCCAGAAGGGAATGGCCACTCTGCAGTCCATCTCCATTCTGCTTTCAGATTCTGAGCATGCACGCACACGTGCCTGGTGTGATAGTCAAGCCACTATTGTCTGGGACTTAAGCTGTGGTCAGCCATGTGGAGTGTCTGGCGCCTTTACCACTATGCCATCTGCTGGCTCCAGCTTTCCCTATCTTATTATTTTCTTTTTATGTATTTATTTTTTTATTATAGTTTTCTGTTTTACATGTAATAGTCATACAGATTTATGGGGTGCAGTGTGGCTTTTCAAAATGTGTGTATTGCGTAAGGATCAAATCAAGGCAGTAAACATAGCCTCCATCTCAAACCTTTATCATTACTTTGTTTTGTACATTTGTGTTTTGATGTGTGCTTTGAATTCTCATTCTTTCTTTTTGGAGAGGTTTTTGCTATAGGGCACGTGCACTCGCCAGACAGACAGAGAGAGACAGACAGAAAGCGAGAAATCACGCCCCAGCGGGGATGGCCACGCCGCAATCCCTTCTCCTCCCTTCTCCTCTCGGGATCTTGGGCACGTATGCACATGCACCTGGCGTGAGTTTAAGCCACTGGGTCTGGGACTCAAACCACAGTCGACTACGTGGGAGTCCAGCGACATAGCCATTACGCTAACTGCTGATCCTGAATTCTCATTCTTTACTAAGCTATCATACTCTAGAACTCATTCCCTTTATTTACTGGTGCTCTTGAATCTGTCTGTGATCCCATTCTTCCCATTCCTTCCATTGCCCTTACTTTTTCTGCTTCTAGTATCCACCAGTATACTCTTCACTTTCACACAATGGAATCTTTCCGTTTTCATTATTGAGTGGGGATGGTTTATTATCAGTTTCTGGTTTATTTCACTTAGCATTATTTCCTCTCAGTTTGTCAGTCTTGCCTCAATGATTCTTAAATGATTGGATTTCATACTTTTTTATACTTGAATAGTAATTTAATGTTTTTCTTTATCCACTGTCCATTGCTGGACACTGAAGTTGATTACATACCTTAGCTATTGTGAATAGTGTTCTAATAAACATGGAAGTGCAGATATTTCTTTGCCATACTGATTTCTTTTCAGGGGCATGTATCCAGTAATGGAATTACTGGATAATAAGGTAGTTGTATTTTCTCTTTTTGTTTTTTAATTATTTTGTTAATTTTATTTATCATTATTATTACTTTTTAATTTGACTAGAGAGAGACAAGCAAACCACCAGGTCCGGGACTCGAACCATAGTCAGCCATGTGGGAGTCCAGTGCCCTAATCACCATGCCACCCACTTGCCCAGTATTTTTCTGTTTTTGAGGAGCCTCCATACTGCTTTTCATATGGCTATACTCTTTTACATTTCCAACAACAGTTCATGAATGTTGCTCTTCCTCCACAGTCTCACTAACACTTGTTTTTTTTTTTTGATAATAGCTATTCTGACAGGGGTGAGATAACTCATTGTGATTTTGATTAGCACTTCCCTGATAATTATAATGTTGAACATTATTTCATGTGCTTTTTGGCCATTTGTATGTCTTTTGAGAATTGTCTTTTCAGATCACTTGCCTATTGATTTATTTATGTACTTATTTATTTTTAATTGTTAGAAGATGTGTGTGTTTCCCAGAAGGGGAGGGGCATGACTGCACCACAGTTCCCTCTTCTTCATTTCTCCACCTTGTTGAGTTTTGGGGCACACATGCATCTGACATTTTTTCAAGATCCTGGGGCCAGGATTTAAATTGCGGTCGGCCATGTGGAATCCAACTCCTTTAACTACTAGGCTGTGAGGCTGGCCCAAGTGCCCATTTCTCATTGAGGTATTTGTTTTTTTGCTGTTGAACTGCATATATTCTGCTTATTAATCCTTTATTGGATGTATTACTTGCAAATATTTTGTTCTACTCTAGGTTGTCTCTTCACTCTATTGTTTTCTTTGCTGGCAGAAGCTTTTTAGTGGAAGATAATCTCATTTGTCTATTTTTGCAGCAGGTGCTCAAACTTTTGAAGTTTTATTTTAAAAAATCTTTGCCTTGGGACCAGCAGATAGCATAATGCTTATGTCACTGAACTCCCACGTGGTCCACAGTTTGAGTCCCAGACTTGGTGACTTGCAACTCATGCCAGGCACATGTATCCAAAATCTTGAGAAGAGAATGGAGGAGAAGGGATTGTAGCATGGCCACCCCCCTGGGATTGCATTCTTGCTTTCTGTCTCTCTGTCTCTGTCTCTAAGGCAAGCACACATGCCCTATGGCAAAAATTTCTTTTAAAAAAAAAAAAGAATCTTTGCCTAGACCAATGTCCTGACGCATTTCCCATATGTTTCCTTCTAGTAATGTTATGATTCTGGTATTCTGTTGAACTCTTTACTCCATTCTGAATTGATTTTTATATATTATGAAGGAGTTTTATTGATATACTATTTTATTCATGGCAGAGAGTGCATGAATATGCACAAGCAGAGAGAAAAGAACCCTTGATACTCATTCCAGGTTTCTAGAAATGAAATAGCTCTTAAAAAGCAGAATGGGGCAATCACAAGGTGGAGTGCTGGTTGGGGCCTGGACTCCCCTATGGTTGACCGCAGTTTGGCCCGGGACCTGGCGGCTTGCTTTCTCACTTTTCCTCGCTCTCCCTTTATCTCTCTCAGGTCAAATTAAAATAATAACAATAGTAATAAATAAAAGTTAAACAATAATTCTTAATTAAAAAAAAGTAGCATGGGGACTAATCTTGCTTTCTGTGCAGAGGTGGGTTTGGAAAAAACATCAAATATGCAAACAGCTATTGCTCAGCTGCTTGGCATCCAATGTTTCTTTCTTTCAAGCTTGCCACAAACCCCTTCCTCCAGCCCTCCAGTTCCTCAAGATCTCTCGCATATGTGTGCATTCCTGGCATATTTCAGGTTGACTGAGCTGGGGAATTGAACCTGCAGTTGGCCCTGTGACTTCTGGTACTGCAGTTCATTAAGCTACTGAACTGAGTGAGTGCCCCAACAAGGTCTTTATGCCACCATCCTCCCCTAACCTCATAGCCCCAGATCATAGACATTCACATACCCAGCATACTCAGGAAGTTCATAGGATGTGAACCCAGGCCGTTCCCATGTAGGTCAGCCTTGCAAAGCATTGTTTTAGTGCTATGCTACAACTAGCCCTTTTTGTTTATTTCTTTTTTTTAAAATCACACTGTCAGTACTACAGTTTCGGCACAGCAATTATATGCTTTTGCTTCAGTTGCCTAATTTTACTCTTAAGTTTCTTTATAAGCTTTGAGTGAATGAAATTTAGACCCAGAAATATATTGACATTGTATATGTTAATTTGAATGGGAAATATTCTGATTTCTCAAAGACCCTATAGGTCCTCAATCACTTAACAAGTCAATTTGTAAAGTATTCCTAATGTACTCTGTGTCCTTTAACAGTAGTAAGACTTCGTTTTTCCCACACAAAAATAATTGGTGGAATAAACTATATTTGCTGGGGAATCGGGAAACCTGGGTTCTGTCTCTAGCTCTGAAATTGACTGTGTTTGTTATACAGTGTCTTGGGAATTTAATTTGCTTATCTAAAACTTCTAGGTTTTTTGTTTTTTGTTTTTTAGTTTTTCCATTTGGATAATGCAAAAGTACATCTGCAGAATTTGTCAAATATTTATTACTGTTCTTAATCCTTACATACTTCACTTAGAGGGCTGGGGTGGGGAGAATGTTTAAAAAGCATTTGATCTCATTTGTGGTAGTTTGATGTATTTTCTTTCTTTTTTTTGGGGGGGGAGAGATTTTTTGCTATAGGGCGCGTGCACTCGCCAGACAGACAGACAGACAGAAAGTGAGAAATCACCCCCCCCCCGGGGGGGATGGCCACGCTGCAAACCTTTTCCTCCATTCTTCTCTCGGGATCTTGGGCACGCACGCACATGTGCCTGGTATGAGTTTAAGCCACCGGGTCCGGGACTCGAACCTAGGTCAACTACATGGGAGTTCAGTGACATAGTCATTACGTTAACTGCTGGTCCCTGATGTATTTTATTTATAAACTTTTTTTTTTCCCGCCAGAGAGATTTTTACTATAGATCATATGCACTCGCTGGAGAGACAGAGAGACAGAAAGCAAGAAATCACCCCCTGGCGGAATGGCCATCACACAGTCCCTTCTCTTCAGTTCTCCACTTGGGATCTTGGGTGCACATGCATACATGCCTGGCGTGAGTTTAAGCCACCAGAACTTGAACTGTGGTCGACTATGTGGGAGTCCAGCGATGTAACCATTATGCTGTCTGTTGGTCCCTAAGATTATCTTTTTTTTTTTTTTTTTTTTAATTTTATGGTATGAATTTATGTTTCCTCCAATTTTTTTTTTAAAGAGATTTTTGCTATAGGGCACATGTGTTTGCCAGAGAGACAGAGAAAGTGAGAAATCACCACCCCAGGGTGGATGACCACATCATGATCCCTTCTCCTCCATTCTTCTCTTTGATTTTTTTTTTTTTTTGAGAGGTTTTTGCTATAGGGTGTGTGCACTTGCCAGAGAGACAGAGAGATAGAAAGTGAAAAATCACCCCCCATGGGGATGGCCATTCTGCAATCCCTTCTACTCTTGGGATCTTGGGCACGCACGCACACTGCGTGAGTTTTAAGCCACCGAGTCCGGGACTCGAACTGCAGTTGACTACATGGGAGTCCAGCAACATAGCCATTATGCTAACTGCTGATCCCATTCCTCCATTCTTCTCTTGGAATTTGGTGCGCGCACACACCCACCTGGTGTGAGTTTCATGTCATGGGTTCAGGATTTGAAACGCAGTCAACCATATGGGTGTCCAACTGCTGGCCCCAGTTTTTCCAAATTTTATTACTGTTGGTAATTTAAACTAAAAAAAAAAATTACATGTAATTTGTAATCGTAATTAATTTTCCATAGGCTGTACAACAGGTTATTACTAACCTACTAATTGGGCAGATAGAACTTCGTTCTGAAGATTCTCCAGATATTTTACCTTATTCTCATGAAAGACGAGTTGAAAAGCTTGTTGTTCCCCTTGGTGAAGAACTAGCAGCCATCCAAAAGACATATATTCAGGTAAGTCATTTTTATCACAGTTCAGGGAAGTCATTTTTATCACAGTTCAGGGTTTTGATAAATGAATTCATAATTTTTTCTTTTTTTTTTTTTTTTTTTTAAGAGAGAGATTTTTACTATATGGTGCATGTGCTCTGTAGAGAGAGAGGGACAGAAAGTGAGAAGTCACCCCCATGGGTGGATGGCCACACTGCAATCCCTTCTCCTCCATTCTCCTTTCAGGATTTTGGGCACATATGCACACACATCCAGCATGAGTTTCAAGCCACCAGGTATGGGACTCAAACTGTGGTTGACCATGTGGAAGTCCATTATACCATCTGTTGGTTCCAGTAATATAATTATTGTAGTCAACAGAATTTAGCTGAAGAATATGCAGTTATCTCATTTTACATAAATATTTTTATATATATATTAGAGAAATATTTGCCATAGGGTGTGTACCGTTACAGGAGAAATAGAGAGAGATGGAAAGTGAGAAATCATCGCCCATGGGGATAGTTATGCTACAATCTCTTGTCCAGTCTCTTAGGATTTTGGGCACACATACACATGCACCTGATGTGAGTTTTAAGCTTCCGGGTCCAGGACTCGAACCATAGTCAATGACGTTAGAGTTCAGCAACATAATCCTTACACCACCTTTTTCTACAGGACAGATGCACTTGCCAGAGAGACAGAAGTGAAAAATCAACACTTAGGGTGAGATAGCCATGCCACATTCCTTTTCCATTCTCCTCTCAGGATTTTGGGCATGCAGGCACACATGCCTGACCTTCAGTTTCAAGCTGCGAGGTCTGAGACTTGAACCATAGTCAATAGTGTGGGAACCCAGTGATGTAAGCTTTATGCCATCTGCTGGTTCCCCAGATGTGAGGTGGTTTTTTTTTTTTTTAT